GTTTTTGATTATTGGATGTTATTGGATGGAGAATCCATGGTCACGGGGGGGTCTATAAACCACCTGAAGGTGGTGCTGGGGTGTTCTTGTACGTAACTTATGTGCTTTTTCTGTCCAATTCCGCGCTGGGGTGCCATTTGGGTCGTCGAGTGGACACGCTCGGGGTAGCTCGAGCAAAAGCCGAGAGCCGCGGCCTGAGGACAACTGGATGAACCACAGCTGTGACGAGCGCTTGGAGAACTGTAGCAGCTCGAAGGCGACCAAAGCAATCCAGAAACTCGACATGGTGGCACTGGATGTGATTTTGGTCGTGTTGTTTCCTTGTTCCAAGATTATCGGTATATAGAGTATGCAGTGTTCAACTAAGACTTGCAGGCTGGCCTGGCCTGTAAATTGAGGTCCTGGACGACTTGGAAAAAACAAAACAAAGGCAACTGGCCCGGAAGGTTCTTTCGACTTGGAAGAAAAAGAAACAAAACCCTGCATCACTCAGCCGAGCTTCTTTTTGGAGAGCAACCTTTCGCCGGCCCTCTCGGCAGGTCGTTGATCTCTCTGTGCAGTCTGACCATATTGCCCGGGACCCCAGCGTATGACCTCCAAGGATCTCAGAAAATGCTGAATCTGCGGTACGTTTGGATTCCAGTTGATGGTTTGAACCCCAACCAGGACCCCCCCCAGGACCCCCTGTCAAGGTGTTTCATCGACAACGCCCCCTCCCTCAGGAGCGCCATGGAACACCGGCGATGTGCCAGCGCGATCGCCCCCCCGGAAACCCCTGGTCACCCGCGATCGGCTTGGGAGTGACGAACGCTTGGCTTCGTTGGTTGGCATGGGCGAACGGACGGCTCGGGTGGCGCGGCTTCCAATGATCGACTTGAATCGACTTGAAGTGTCCAAGAGTTCGCGTCATGGGGCGGTTTTGCAGAGATGAAAACACACATAATTTATAATCATTTATACTATTTTATACTTATTCCCCAAACAGTGTGGGCACACTGAGGGGTTCTTAGGGTAGTAGAAAAGCAGCTCGTGCTTAGATCGCTGAAGCGCGCCGGCGTGAACGGCTAATTCATTGCTATTTGCAGTACATTCATGCCCATCGAAAGCATCGAAGTGCATTTCGACTGCGCAGGCTCGCAGAATCTGGGGGCCCGCTGCGGGTGCTTCTAGCGACTGCGCTCTCGTTGTGGTGCCGCGCGCATTTTTCGCACATGGTGAACCTCGAAGTGCAGATTTCGTGGCAGGCGCAGCACTTGGTGATCCTCGATGTGCAGATTTCGTGGCAGGTGCAGCACTTGGTGAACCTCGATGTGCAGATTTCGTGGCAGGTACAGCACTTCCCTGAGCATCGAATCTTGATCCTAATCAGTAAACTTTAATGCTGATTGATTTACAAAAAATCAATATTTTTGAATTTGTTTTTTTGATTTCCATATCAATATTTTTGGAAGCCTTTTCCCACCATCAAAATCAATATGCAAAATCAAAAGGGAAATCAATAAAATCAATACACCCTGAAAGCTAGCAGGCGCCTTTTTCCTTTCAGACAAGCTAGTCTGGACAGGCCTTTTGCCAGTCCACTGACCTTTTTCAAGGTCTAGGCATGCAATTCCTTTTTCGAGGAGCTTGCAAGGGGAGTTGTCCTTTTTCAAGGTTCAATGTTTCTCCCTGCTTGCTCCATTCCTTCCCTGGTCAGAAGGAAATGGAGCAAAATTCTATATTTGGGAGCAACCTTTGCACTCACCCTTGTTGAAGACACCCCTGGACTTACAGAAGACGTGAGAATGCTCATCTTCCCAACAAAGTCTTCTGAGGAGAAAGTCCAGTGTGATGTTTCATCACAATGTGGAAGACGGATCTCCCTTTTTCAAGGGCCCAAGCAGAGAGAGAGCTATACTTTTTCAAGAAGCTCTCTCCCAGCTTCATGGTTTTGAGCCACCCCCCATTAGTCAAGAAGACATCTCCTTGATCAAACAGGTCAGTGAGCTTTGCCATGTCTTCCACTGCTTGCAACATAGTTGCTTCATGCTCTTTTTCAAGAGACACAAGATTCTGGAGGACAGGTGCAAAAGCCTGCAGAAACCATTTGGTCTCTGAGGCCTTGAGATCCAATTGAGCCATGCTTTTGTGGGGCTCCTTTGGATTGCACAGCATGCTCAAGCGCAGGTTGGTGACCCTGGTAGGTGTCTCCTGTGCAACATATTCTTTCTGCACGGCTTCAAAGATTGAACCCAATCTTTTTTCTGGAGACACCTTCTGGGTTTTTCCAACTCCATCATAATACAAAAAAGAATGGATGCAACTACCAAGAAGGTGCCCAAGCACCCCCTTGGTAAAGAGGATATGCAAGCAGTCTCCTCGAACCATTTTAGTGCTCAAGCCTGGAATCACTCCTGAAAATAGATTATGGGCGCTCTTAGGATTTGCCAAAGCCTCCTCATTGGAGATTCTCTTCCAGGCTTGCTTCCCTTTTTCAAGGGTCTTGTAGCACATATTGGCTGGTTTTGCATCTTTCTTGGCTGAGCATTCCCAGCAAGGGCTTTTGGAAGCCCAATGGGGCAACTTTAGTGAATTACTGAAAAAAATTCATGGTCTCCTTGGACCACCCACAAGACTCCACAGAGTCCATTTTTTCAAGGAAAAATGGAGAATCCTTTTTCAAGGGCTTCCCCTCTGGGTCATGAGTTGGGTGGTCTCCCAGGTTCCATCCAAAGTGCAGCTTTTGGGGAAGCCTGCTATATAGAAGTGTGAGTGCTGCAATAAGCTGCCCCAGCTGTAGACCATGAGGCTGTCTCTGTTTTGATATTCAACCCCATCCCCATGCATAAACAAAGGGATGGTTTTCTTCTTCCATCCTCTTTGCTGCATGGGGTGGTTTTTCAACCGGTCATCTCCTTTTTCAAGGGCTTGGTTCCAGAAGTCTTCCAATTTTTCAATTGGGAAAATGCTTTGCAACACATCCTCATAGCTGGAGGCAAGCTTGGAAAACATCTGGTGAGGGAGGAAGCATGCAGCAAATTCCACATCCTTTTTCAAGGATTTTGGATTTTTGCATGGGACCTGAACATCGCAGGAGTCAGGCATGCTCAGCTCTTTAAAAAAAACAGAAGTTTATTGATCAGAATCAAGATTCGATGCTCAGGGTTTGTGAACCTCGATGCGCAGACTTCCTGACAGGCACAGCACTCTGTGAACCTCGATGCGCAGAGTTCGTGGCAGGTACGGCACTTTGTGCACCTCGATGTGCAGAGTTCGTGGCAGGTACAGCACTTTGCGAACCTCGATGCGCAGAGTTCCTGACAGGCACCTCACTTTGTGAACCTCGATGCGCAGAGTTCGTGGCAGGTACGGCGCTTTGTGAACCTCGATGTGTAGAGTTCGTGGTAGGTACAGCACTTTGTGAACCTCGATGTGCAGAGTTCGTGGCAGCCACAGCACTTTGTGAACCGTTCGTGGCAGGTACAGCACTTTGTGAACCTCGATGTGCAGAGTTCGTGGCAGGTACAGCACTTTGTGAACCTCGATGTGCAGAGTTCGTGGCAGGCACAGCACTTTGTGAACCTCGATGTGCAGAGTGCATGGCAGGTACAGCACTTTGTGAACCTCGACATGTAGAGTTCGCCACCCAGGCGAGCTCTGGTCACTGTGGGCAACTCACTCACTCACTAATTCACTACCTGATTGTGTTCTCAGATGTGTGCTCTCCTTGGTCTTCTGCTTTTTCATTCGCACTCATAACGCCCATACTCACTCTCATTCACAAGCATTCTTCCTTTTTGACTCAAGCTTGCATTCATTGTCACACTCTCACTCATCCTCACTCGCTCACGGATTTGTGCCCTCTGTCTCTTCTTACGCTGACTACATCCACTCTCACTGTGACTCTCTCGCTCTCACGCGCACTCACAACGCTCACGCTCATTCTCACTCACGCTCATATTCACTCGCTCACTTTCTCACGTGCTGCGTGGTCTGGTGACTGTGCTCTCAGATGTGTGTTTTTACACTTCTGTAGACCTCTGAAACTCTAGTTTGTTCTCATGTGTGTGCTCTTCTTTAGACTCTTGTTTCTAGAGCGATCTGGCACGGTTACACCCAGCTATTCTTCTATCCGACGCACCTGGCGTGGTTCCATCCAGATACTTTTGGCATAGCTTGGTTTCTTGGCAAAGAAAACACACACTTTCACTCACTCTCCACTCTCACTCACACACTCCCTCTCACTCTCACCCTCACACTCATTTGACTGCAATACAGCTGGGTAGCGGTGACAGAAGTGTCTCTCATATACACTCCACACTGTTTGGGGTCTCTTGCCGGGATAATTAATATAGTTTATTCAAGCCTGGATTCCGGAATCCGGAATCTGGGTTGCTTCTTTGCATCTCAAGAAGGCGCTGCACATGAACTACAGGTCTTTCCTCGGGGTAAGCACCAAACGCTTTATGAATCATAATTTATGATCCATCTACATACAGTGTTTGTGTTTTGACAGTCGATCCAGTCCTCAACTGAAGCACGGCGTACATTGAACATCGACCGTCCACGCCTTGCGGCTGGATGGGGGGTTCGGTGCCCAGGAAGCACATCGGATTTCCTCGATCAAAACGGGGAACCCGAACCCCATGGGTGGCGGAGCTCCGCCATTGGGCGGCACCACGGAGGTGGCCTCCCAGTGACTGGTTCAGCTGAAAACACTCAAATCATCGAACATGGTTCCTTGGGGGACCATTTTCTGGTACAAACGGGTGGTGAACTCCATGGAGGTGATGGACTATTTCAGGGAGTGCAAAACAAGGAAAACGTTGATGAGATGCGGATTTGCAGGTGCTGCGCTTTGACGCCGATCCTGGCTTGCAGACAGGCGCTACTTTACTGACTTGGTTGGGAGGGTACACCCCAGGGCCATTTTCTGGCTATGGATGGTTAACATTGGGCCACTTCCTTCAACGTCTCCTTGCCTCCCACACCTGTCACAAAGCAAAAAAATCAGCACATTGTTGCTCTTTGGCGAATTCACGCATTCAAGACTGGCCATAAAAATCACGAAATCCTCTAAACTGTCGAAACCTGGTTCTTCAACTTGACCTTTCGATCCCCAGGTTTGAGGTCACTTAGGCCTGGAATAAAGATAGGCCAATGGGATAGGCCAGTGAACAAAACCTGGAGCAAGAGGGCTAAGAGATGCTAAGAGGGATCCTGGACCAGAGGGATTCTTGGTTCCGCACCTCAGCCTTTGGGCTCTTGCGTTGTGCTCTTCGGGGAGAGAAGACGCGCCGACCTTGCAGAAGAGAAGACGCGCATCCGACTGGTGAGAACGCATCCAACTCGCAAAGCAACGAGAGATGTCGACCGCCCTTTTGGAGGAAGATGAGTTCGCGGGCAGAGACTCCATGGGATTACGAGTGGTCTCAGAGAAGACTGAAACTGACGCTTGGATGTGATGGATCATGGTTGTTCGACGATGAACAGCCGTGGGTGGTGGGGACACTAATGGCAACCACATCTAGTCTGAAACCAATGTATTATATTCAGGTTTTGTAGAGCTGGTCCGGCTTGTCTAGCTCTCACAGCTGGCCTAGGGCAAATCCGCACCAAGGAAGAGCAGGCCTTCAAGAAGTACCTGAAGCTTTTGTTTGTTTTTGTACCAATCCTTGGTCTTTCATTGGCTATTGCCACCTATGTGACTGCCAAGTATGTGGGCGGCGAGACCATCATGCAGGCAGTGTTGGCCTTGTTTGGGAAAAAATCAAGAAAAAGGAAACCTGCTCCGAACCTCCGATGACCCGCTGGTAGGCTGGTGCTAAAGGAATGATTTCTGTCATGACCAGTTCCATGCTCGCATGTCCCCTGCAGGTCAAGTTCCACTTCCTCCGCCAGTACCAGCTGGGCTATGTCTTCCTAGCTGCCTGGCTCATCGGTCTGGCCCGTGCTGCTGTGGCTCTTTTGGCCAACTCCGCACGCGCGGCAGCGAGACTGGATCGCCCGGACCAGCATGTCTACAAAATCATGGATGCTTCAGGACGATTCGACCTGCCCCAATCCTCCAATCCAACCAGCCGATTTTGTACGGGGGTTGGGTGCGAGTTTGGTTGGGGTTTTGGTTGCGGTTTGCAGCAGCCTGGGCAGCTTGTAAACAGTTGGATCAATCAAACATACCGAATGGACAGACTTCAGGATGGCTGATGGCCGTCAAAAAGCCTGGAAGAATGCAGACAGCATGCGCCATGGATGTCCCGACATGTCGACATGGTGTCTTCTGTTGGTTTACCCGACCGGATGGGGTGACAGGACGCGAAAAGTTGAAGGTGCAAACAAGCAAGAATCGATCCCAAATATACTCAAATGCTCCATGATGTTTTAACGCCAACGACATTCACCCCTGAAAGCACCCAATGTAGGCCATAGTTGCCTACAATCTTCTGGAGACCAGCCATTGGTCCGTAATTACGCCAAAATGATCAAACCGCCACATCGACTGCTGACATTTGGCCGCTGGAAATAAGGAAATTGCCTGGACCCACACGCTTCGTATGCCCCTGGAGGGAATACACTGTTCACATGACTGGACTCTGGATGCATTTGGAAAAACAAAACAAAAACATAACTCTACGAAGTGAAGGTTACAAAATGCAATCCATCGGCGATCAAGTGCACTTGTAGGTCCTGGGGAATATGAGTCCTGGTTCCTTGAGCAAATCCAAGTATACGGAAGCAGGGTTTCGTGTGGTCTATGGGTTGAGTCCCGGAAACGTAACTGCAGTACCAGGATCCACTGGGCTTAGGTGGTAACTGGATCCATTGGGCTTTGGTCAATATTCTACCGCCCAATCTCGAGATGTGGACTCCTCAAAAAGGCGAAGGGATTTAGATTAGAGGCATCTCAACCTACACTCTCACTCTGGCTGACTACCATGGAAGTGGTCTTACCTAATTGATGTACTATAGCGGGTATTCCACTCCAAGGAATGGAGTGTAGACTTGATTTTGGTGTGTTCCAGCTAGGGACTAACAGTCCATCACAACTACCTGGTTGCCCAAACAAACAAGGGCATTATATTCTATAATTACTACTAGTAGCTTCTCTAGCTATGAAGGTAGCTCCTGGCACTACTAGGAACAAGAAGCTACGAACCTAACAAGGGCATGACTACGAACGCGCCAGGATCTCTGAAGAGTGCGCCTTATGTGCTCATGGCCACCACCGGGGCCGTGGGACGCTTCAATCGGACGCAGCGAGCGGCCTACAACATGGACGAGCCTTGTTCCGTCCTGCGATGCGTCGATGGAGAGGAACTCACCTGGCCTGTTGAACAGGATAGAACAAGGTGGACTGATTAAAAAAGAACAACTCTGAAAAAAGAACCATATATCCAAACAACACAGTTCAAACAACAAAGATAGAAGCCAGGTGGGGACACTCTGAACGACTCTGAAGCTGTTGTTTTGGTAGGATCTCTTGTGAGTTCTTGAGTGATTTCGTCTGTTTCTCCCCGATCCAAACATTCCAAGGAATCTTTGCCCTGCTTTCTGGTGAACACTCTTCTGGCGAGCAGTGTCTTTGGACCCGTGACTCTCTTGCCCTTGCTCCTCTACTGCTATGGACGCTTGAGCTTCACAGTGAAGTACAAGAAGTCCCTGAAAGAACGTGGAGCAGGCTTTTTGCCTTCCATGATCGGAGAGAAATGGATTGAAGGCTTGGTCCTTCTATCGGCCATCAAGAGTCTCACAGGTCTATGAGTCTCACAGGTCTAAAGATCCCCGGCCTGGATCGACTGGCTAAAGATCCCCACAAGAAGAGATGGCGGGCCCGGCATTTGGCAGGGTTTCGATTAGGAAGTCTGAGAGGGACAGAAATGTGCTGCATCGACAGGATCAGCCGCTTTACACGCACTTTTGGGTGATCGATTGGCTCAAAGAGCCCAATTTTAAGGCATTTTCTTGCGGATGGGCTCAGTTTTGTGTGCAGGAAATGCTGACTCTGCAGAAGAATGAGACATGTAATGGTTGTGTTGTTTCCTCAAATGTATGCGTGCTTTCTTACTATACCATACTATACCTTATAAATCCTTAGAACAGTGCTTGCAATAAGCTTTCCAGAGTTTGGTTTCTATTCACTGTGTCCGGTTGTTCGTCAACCTGGCAGAGTTCCCTCTCCTCCTCCTCATCATCATCATCATCATCATCATCATCATCATCATCCAATAGGGTTGGCACCAATTCTTTGCAGTCGATTCCGGTCAGTCAGTGTGCTTTTCTTCTCTGTGGGGATCCCCTCGACCGTTCACCGAGCGTCCTGTTCTGCGCCGGGCGTCCGACGGTTTTTGGAAGACCGATCGAGATGGGCAGTGACGGAGGGGGGTTCGAGTGACTTGCGATGCATTCGTCACCAAGCATGCTAAACTGCACCCAAACAACGCATCCATAGCTGCACCGCGGAGCTTTTCAAAGTAGCTGCTTGGGTGGGTTCCACCACGCCCCAGCTCTTCATTCTGAACTGCAATCCTTGGCCTACTGTTTTTCAGCCAAAGCAACCCATACCATCCATGGTTCCATGGAATAATTAATTATAAATAATTAATTGTTTACCACATTGGAGTGGTAAGTTTATACTAGGGTGACATGACAAAGGAGTTGTTTTTTGGGGGAGTTCAATTGAGGTAAATGTTCCAGTCCGATGGGATTCTTGGGGCGTTTCAACTCGTTGAAACCGTTCCTGACGACCCGTCGTCCGACTCATCGACCGTGTTCGGGCCAGGCGACCTCATCGTGTTGGAGAATGTCACGGGCGGCAGCGAGGAGGACGGGAGAGACCTGGTCCAAAACGGGGGGGACCGGAGGGACCGGATGGCTTTTCCCAGATCTAACAGAACAGACCTACCAGGGTAGTGGTCGACCTACCAGGGTGAAACAGGCGAAAGGGGTCTTGACCCACGGCCCATAATTCAGAATTGGGAGGAAGGGGCTGGGTTTAATAGGAATTGAAACACATCCAGCGCAGGATCCGTGGAGCTTCCAAGTGGGGGATCATACAGATCGACCATAATGCTTTTGAAGTACAAGACAAGAACCCAACACGGTCATTCTAGTGGACAATGCTTTTCTCCAGTCAGTCAGGAGACATTTTTTGTTTGAAAGATTTGGACGGTCCCAATACATCCTAAGACCAGGCGTTTCCGACATGGGTTTGACCAGACCTGTCCAGGGAGTTCTTTACTCTTCGCATTGCGGATGAACAAAGACGTCGATATCCCGCCGCCGAGCTGTAGGCCCTAGACAAACATTTGTTTGCCACACCAAAAAAGAACTGAGATGGGGCTGCACATGTCAGAAGCATTCAAAATCTTTGTGGTTTCGAACAAACAAGTTACTTTACTTCGAGTGATCCCCACTTGTGGCTGACATAAAATCTAACAACCCTCACCTGACAGGTGGGGAAAAACTTGATAAAACATGGACAAATTGACCTGAGACACTGGATGGCACTGGGTTCCACCAATGACGTGGTTCCACGAGTGTGGCGGAGAATCCGGCCAGTTCTCTGAGAGCGCGGCCAGGAGAATCGCATCGTCTCCGGGCAAGTGGGCTTTGAACACATGGGACATCCTGCCACTTGACAGAAGGATCAACAGAAGCACACGGAAGCTATTCTAATTCGGTTGAGACACCTCGTGGTCTCATAGTGGAACTCTTTTGTATAGCGGACGAGGTTGTGCATCCTATACATGTCTATACTTGTCAAGGCCATTCGGCGATGTGCACAAATAGCACTAAAGCAACTTAAGGCACTCAAACGATCAACATGTATTAGTACTCATATGTATTCGTGAAACATCCCGGAAATCCTGGTCTTTGAATCACCTACCCCCGGATGGACATCCAAGACCGAAATCCGATCATCGGCCTCGGAGAAGCTGAGCATTTGGAGCAGACATCTCCAGGTCTTCAGAGGTCTTCAGGCTCGGCGTAATTATGTGGAATCTTCATTCATAAGCCTGCCATTTTGATTGCAAGACCTCTTCATATGAATGTGTTTAATCCAGATTCTGCTTTTGTATCCGACTTTGGATCTTCCATGGCGCCATGAAGTCTTCATTGGATGCAGATACAGACCGCCTATGAAGTGATGAATGGGAACCCAGGATGGGAACCCAGGGTGGACACCCAGAACGCTGGGTTTTCCTAAGCCATTCACCTGCACCTTTTCCTAAACCGCATGAACGCGCTGTTTGGCGTGCGGTCTTGCAAGCATGCTTGAAACATGCGAGCAAGGGAACACGAGTGGTGGTCTGGCTGCACGCAAGAACTGTAAATTCATGTAAATTCATCGAAGAAACGAATCCGAAGGACATGCTGTGTGGCACATTGTGACACAAAAAGGGCTCCTGAAAGATCCCCGAACTGAAATCAACCACCGCACATTTAAATGAATTTAAATCTTAAAAATCAACACTTAACAAAGAAGACAACATGCTCAACCGCTATGTCATACTAGTAGCGCAAACGGTGATGCTATCTGTGGGTGCCGTCAAACGTGTCCAGGACGGGGCCGTTTTGAAAGATCGCCTCGTAGACTGCGCCAGTCAGGTGACCCGCTTAACTGAAGGCTTGGCTGGGGCAGTCCGGGAAACTCAGGCCGAGGGCAAGGGGAGAGGCCAGGCGATGGACGTGAGAGGCGGAAGAAGAAGGGAGGGGAGAATTGATTTTGAGCAGAGTGGCCATTTAGCGCACTTTAGGAGTTGGTCTGTAGATGTTTACATGGGTTGTTTTCAGAGATGTCAGTAGGGGTTAAACACGATTCAGGCCCAGGGTGCCGCAGGTTATAGTCTGGAGGCTACAGACTGTTGGCCCATTGCCGTTTTAGATGATGTTGGTTTTAATGAATTTTATTGGTTTGTCCCGCCGTATAACATGTTGCCAGTCATTTTGCCTATACGGTCTACTGTCACTCGATAACTTTTCCTTACATAAAGAGAAAGTCCATCAGGGCCCTGGGGCACAATGGTTTCGATTCGGGGCAGGATCCCTTTGCGGCTGTTTGTCGAGAACTTTTACATGGGGTTGGTCCATGTATAGCATCTAGCATGCCCTTTGCTTTGTTCCGGCTGATCCCTGGGCCGCGGTTGTTCCACCGCCACCCAGTCAGAGCTACCGAGAGGAAGCAACAAATTGACGACCAAACAGACGGGTTGGGATAGGGGTCTCACTCTTAAATGGATCTGTCAAGACACCAAACAAGCGCATCTCCGAGGATGGCTTGATCTTCAGCATCCCTGTGGCTTTGGGTGCAGCTCTGCGGCCGCCCTTCTTGCCAGGCACCACTTTTTCTGAAACGCAGCAGGTCGGTCTTCGGAAGAGAGTGAAAGGACTGGATGCTTCGTTTTGTGAGGGAACCAATGATGAAAAAAAAAATCAGGACACAACAAGATGACACCCATAGGGTCCAGGTACCTCTTGAGGATGGTCTTGGAGGTGAAACTACTTCCAGAGAATGGTCTTTGGGATCAAAGACATCCTTATCTTAGGATTCAGGATGGTCCTGGACCCTTAGGGAAACAATTCATCGAGGGATCCAACAAACCTTGGGAATTGTGGATACCTATAGAACTTGCAACTATACAAAAGTTATGCCTTTTCATTAAAACTAGCCAAAAGGCAGACATTTTGCATAGTTGGAAGATCCAGGTATAGTATCGCAGGATTGTGAGGAGGAGGAGGAGGAGGAGGAACAGCACCCCGCTCGGTCAGGTTGTCGTTTTCGGACCCGTCAAGGACTGTGTTGTGCTATGGACAGCTCTGGTTGGAGAGTAGTGACAAATTGTTGCATCCAATGAATCAATTGAACTGGTTGTTCCCCAAACAAAACTGGGGTCAGATCGCACCCTCATGTTCCGCCACTAGTACCAACAGTCGCCGAGGCTTTGACACCCCCCTATAGAGGAATCATGAGGAATCTGTCCATGGTCAGGGATCAACCAGGGAGCTTCCAGATTTTGACCCACCGCCTCACAGCCAAGCCACAGACCTCGGGAACGTCGTTCGACTGGGCTTTGACCATCGACCGGATCCGGCCACTTGTCGAGGTGAGGGCGCATGGACAAGGCACAACCTGGCCCAGACCAAGGAAGAGTTGATGGCTACAGAGGCGGTGAGAAGGGCACGAAGATGCACAGTTGGTGGCTACATCGGTCAGTGGAGCAAAAACATACAGAACAACGACATCGGTGGAGCAAAAAAAAAGGTGTTCACAGGAGGGATGGGTCAAAACCAGGAAACCTTGGGTCGACCTGGGAGATCAGTGGGTTTAGACCCACAGCCAGTCGATTTGGGACCAGGACGCAAGCGTTAGAATGGCTGCCATGGCCCAGCAGGGATCAATTCCCCTGAAAGCCCACTGATGGGGGATGCCAGATGCAATTCCTATACCCCGCGGAAAACTAACATAGACCCTGAACAAAAACTGGTTTGTAGAGGACAACAGCCTTGTTCTTCTTCCCATTCCCAGGGTCCATGAGTTTGGAGTGTAGGCCTTCTTTTTGCACAATTTGTTCAAACCGACATGTCTCGAATTCCCAATTCCCGGTCTCGGAGACCTCGTCTGTCTGAATGACACCTCTGAAACATCCTCCCAGTCGTGGGTCGACACCTCCACTGCTCGTTGGCCTCAGCTTCACCAGGCTGGGAACGATTTGCAAGTCTGTTGGGGCTCTGGGCCAGACACCTATCACCTTCGAGCTGGACAGCCCAGCCTCCACGGAGCGGACGAAGGCGGAGGGAGGCGGAGGAGGGTCTGAACACCAGGGTCTTCGGGTGAGCGAGTGGCACGAAGGTGAGGAATCAGATCCATGCGATGTGCACATTCATGCAAGAGCATGCAAGAACATGTTGATATTTGCATCATGTGGATTTGGAATCTTGTTTGGAATCCCAGACACTTGAGCAACGGTGCCTCACTCAATGTCATCGGTCCGAACGACAAGCATACACGATCCTT